AGAAGTAATTTGGTTGGGTTGGCTGTCGGTTTGTTGATGCTTCGTAGGTAAGCGATTTCCTCCCGCTTCGTTTGATTTCGATGGTTCTATGTCCAGGTTCTCACATGCTCAGGGCTAGTTATTCAGGTACTGCGTCAATTTTTTGAGTGATGCGTAATCGAGGTCGTGCAGCACGTATTATTCTTCCCACTTTTTAGTTGACTTATTGGGAGTTTTGAGCGAGCAAGTCGGGTCAGTTTACTAGAATTTAGATAAGCGGTTTAGTCGTTGAGTTCGAAGTTGTAAATTAGTTTCCGTAGGAAAACAGCGTATCTGATAAAGCCCTGTGGTTCGCTTACTATCAATTTGTCGATTTTTTAAAGTTCCCTGATGATCGCTGACACCACATATTTTGGGTTACCGTATTAGCGCACTAATTCAAGTATTGGCTGCTCATACTAAGAAGAACTGTTTCCTTAGCTCTCTATCAAGGATTTAGCATTATCAGTGCATAATGACTGCAAATAAATAATTTTTTCAAGCGGGCTTAGCTTGTTGCCTATCGCAGTCTGAAAGAGTTCCAACTAGTTGTTCCACTCAAGTGGGTTGCCGTTAAACTTTTGTAGTTTTATATCTAATAATTTGAATCCTTTCAAACTGTAGTTGATGCCAGTGGTCGGATGATTGGTAACAAGGTTGCTGACTTATCTTTCTACATTGCCGAATTGACTGCTGTGTTATTGTTCCTGTGAATACGAGTTAGTCCTATGGAGGTCGTTGAAGTGGTTGGCAACGCACTGTGCTGATGTAGTAGCAGGACTATTCGCAATAGAAGTTATTAGCAGGCCGTATCCGTTTTTGCCAGTTGACATCTGGGCTTCATGTGTTGAGTTGTCGTTCCAAATGGGATTTTCAATGGAAACTGGTGGACGCGAGAAGTTGTATCGTAGAGGAGCGCGAAAATTGAAAGTACCCAGGTTTGCAGTCGGTGATACTGATCTGAAATCAGTTGTAGTGGTAGCGGTGACATTGTTGATTGTCTGATCCTTAGCTCTGTTGGTTCCTCTTAGAGGTGGGAAACTATAGCGTTGAGGAGCGTCTAAGTCGAAAGTGCTCAAGTCGTAGGTGGACGTGTAAATTGAAAAGCCGACAGCCGTAGTACTGATGACGCTGTTGGCCAAATTTTCAGTAGTATTTGAAATTTTTACTCTACACTGGCTGTTGCAGATGCTCCTTTCATTCTGAGTGGGTTGTTTGACCTTTGTGGAAACTGAACAATCGTTTGTCAAGACCTTTCCGTACTTCCTAACATTGATTGGTAGGTCGCACTTTCTTTTTCGTAGCGTTGAAGCAATTTCGGGGCAGTCTTGTACCTCCTAAGTGGAAAACGCTTCTAAGTCGTCTGCAAGCTCATCAAGCAGATCGAAACAAGTGTTACATTCTCAAAATTAAGCTTAACATACTCGACTTAGCTTGTGTTGGCTACTTGCCTCGTTACCTCTTCCTCAAGTTCCTTGAAAGTAGTGTAGCGCGACTCCAATGATTAAGTATTTGTTGTCATGTTGGCTTCAATGGACCATTAAAGAAAGTAGTTTAAAGAGTGGACAAGGTATATTGTACATTAGGTTGCGTGCACCTTTTTCGTCGAGATCAACCAGCCGGAGGGTTATCCCGGTGGTTAATTAAAAACCAGCGCTTTGAATCATGGTGAAAAACTGAGCGGTGAAACTTTCAAGTTTTTTTTCAGTTCAAATGAGTTAAATTTTTTTGAGACTTTTCGTAAAAACTTTTGTAGCTGTGGTAAAAACTTTTCGTAAAAACTTTCGTAGCTGTTGTTAATAAAAACCTTTTTAGTTGTTGGGTAAAGAAAACGTTTCGGAAAAATTGGGCTTCTGAAAAATCGTAATAGATAGTTTTGGGCTAGAAAATTTTGGCCATCGGGTTTTGGCTATCAGAATTTTTTGTATACGTGGAAATTTTTTGTGTTTTTAATGCTTAGGTACTACCTTAGTACCCCGAGAATTAACAAAAAAATTACCAATATTTCACATTTGAGGTTGTAGATTTCGTTTTAAAAAACTGTACAGAAGTTTAGCTAATTTAATGTAACTTTTAGCACAATATGGGTTTTGTTATAGCACGAACATGAGTAAAACTTTCAAAATGGACTATGGGTTTGAAAATTTTGTAGCAAGATATAAATTTTTAACTTTAAGCATGAAAATCGTTTTTGAAGTGATAATTTTTTTCAAAATGGACCTTGAATTTCATGAGTTGGGCGACCACCTCGATCATTGAAGGTTCTGAGAACGAGCTGGCGGACCTTGATGAGGTTCTGATATAGGCCTGATTGAGGTGACGATTCGTCCTTGATATTCTGATCCAGATCTTTTTTTTGCTCAATTCACGCCCTTGCTGATTATTGAAGGCTCTTGGTAGTCCTTGGGTGGACGATGGAGATACTTGTCTTGTTGGAGGTAGGATGCCTTGAAGTTGAGGGGTGCTGAGTTGTCCTTGATGACTTGCCGTAGACTTCGATACCTTTTTCAATTTTGGTCGCCAAATATTCAAGACAAGATGCTGATTATGTGTCTTAAATAGTCCCTTTGTTCATCGAGGTCAAATTTAAAAGTAATTACTTAGCAACAAATCATGCCATTATTAAATGATTTCACGGAATTTTGCGAGAATTAGTGAGAGACAAATTCATGATTATGGGGGATGATTTTCACAAAAAAATATAAAAAAAACTCGTTTTTTAATTAACTTTTTACTGAGTTTTTACTGCTCTGTAGACTTTAAAAGGCCGTTGGAACACTCAGGGCTTCGCCCTGATACGAGCAGTTTTGTTTATTGCATTTGGTAAAATACTACTGATCTTTTGGGTCACCTAGCCATAAGAAAACCTAGTTTTTTCTATCTGGAACCTTCTATTTCCTTCCAGAATGAAAACAAACTAGATTAACCCAGCCAAGAGCACTAAGGAAAATTTTTGTGCAGCAATAATGTAGAGTTCAGGAACAATCGTGCAGAAGCCAATCTGAAGCTCTTGGAGAAAATTTTAGCTTCGAGTCAATTTCAAGAAAAACTGTTTTTTTTTCAAACTCGCATAATAGCTAATCCGTAATCGAAAAAACCGGAAAAGCTGACTCATATATCAAAAAAGGCCTGGAAAATAAGTTTTGAGCATTTACTGAAAATTTTTCTAGATTCCGAGAAATGTTTTCACAGGCTTCATAAAACATCTCATTTTGGGGTTTCTCTTAATTTGAAACACTTTTGAATGAACGTTTGATTCCAAAACCCGCCACTTGTAGGCTTTTTGCCGTCCTTCTTTTTATATAGGGTACGTTAACTTTCATGGATATGGAACGTGTCAGTTTCGAGCTTCCATGACGAAGTAAATCCTAACAGGTAACAGCAGGGGCGGATTTAGAGGGCGGGGGGATGCGGACGCCTTTCGCTCAGAGATTCGACCTCTGCCGACCTAAAGATTCCCCCTTTGTACTATAATGAGATATCCACGTTTGGTGACATACCCTAAAATTTTTCTAAAGGCGGCTTTCGCGCCAATAAACACTGATTTTGAGGGGGCGGGTCGAAATTTTTTTGAGATCCTCACCCCCCCCCCCCCCCCCCCCCCTCTCGAGATCTAGGATTTTCTCGAGGGTGGGGGGGCGGATTTTCAAAAAAAAATCGAAAATTTTGACGATCTTTTTTTTAGGTCGACCAAATTGATTTTTTGAGGTCTCCCAAAGCACTGTTTTGCCCGTGTTTTGGCTAAATTTTCTGCGCCGCAGGCAAATTTTTGAAAAAACGGTCAAAAAAGCCGTTTTTGGGCACTTTTTGAAAAATTTTGACAAAAAAATTGCGTTTTTTTTGGCGCGCGCTCCCCCTCAAAGTTAGTAGATATTGGCGCCAAAGGCGCCTTTACAAAAATTTTAGGGTCGGCGAAAAAACGGATTTCTGAAAAAGTATCAAAGGGGGAACCCTTTGGGTCGGCAGGGGGTCGAATCCCGGAGGGGGGGGGCGTCCAAACCCCCGACCCCCCCCTAAATCCGCCCCTGGTAACAGTACTGAAACCATCCCCATCCTGTGATTATTTCTTGATCAGAGCTATAGTGTCATATGCACAGTTATATTACTAATTTTCTACCGTTGGATTACTGGAACACTGCTAATTTTATTGGGCATATCAATCCAGATCTGGTGAAAAAAGCCCTTTCCACCCACGCCTCAAGCCTCAATTGTAATGTTTCATTTTCCACAGTTTGCAAGCTTAGTTTTTTACGCAATTTGGAAGTTACTGATTTTAAAGTAATGGAGATCAAATGGTAACAAAAATTAATGTAATTGTTATGGAAATTAAGTTTCCCTAAATTTTGACAATGAAGAAAAAAAATTGAATTTCAAGCGTGGCGGGGTTCAGAAGTAGAGAACAGCAGGGCATGAAAAACGCTGCGTTATCCTGTTTGGTAGCTGCATTAATAGAAAGAAACTTCGAGATATTTTTTAACAAAGTAGCCCGATACTTTAATGTTTGAATCCATTGTTTGAGCTGGGTGAAAAATAATAAAAAATTTCTATCAGTTGACTGTTTTAAGAAAAATAAAAAATTAATTTGAAATATTTCAGCACATTTTTTTCTCCCATCATCTTTTCACCATTTTTTCCAATAAACTCACGCCACCCCCCCCCCCCCCCTTGGATACAAAGATTATAGTTTTGTGAGGCTATAGAGAGCTATTATAGGCTGCAATGGAAACAGTCAATTATTAAAAAAACTATTCTTGTTTTACTCTATAAAATACCCTTGTCCCCCTCAATCACCTCTTTCCCCTCCTTCTCGTCGTCCCCCTTATTTAAAGTCAACCATGCGGGCCCAGTTTTTTGGAAGAACTCTGGATAAAAGTCAGAACTCCCCCAAGAAAACTCCTTTGTGCTGTTATCTATCAGATATCGCAGAGTGTTGTTCTTTACTTTAGTGTGAAATAGTTGGAAAACAAAGTCTCTGTTACTACCTGTGTATTCGAAAGGGTCTCCAAAATCCACCGTAACGTGGCTTAGATTCTTCAAAATGATGTTATTGATTCGATTGAACTTACTAAAATCAAGTTTTCTTTCAGCTTTAATTTGATCGAACGAACTTGTCAGCTGCACAGAATAAAGACGTTCCATTGAGTTCATCGTCGGAATATCTTTGAACTCTTCAGGGCGCAGAAAGTTCATCTCATCAATCTTTAAACGCAAAGTCCTAGCGTAGATATCGGGGTCATTGAACGCTTCCAAGAAGCTTTTTATGCTGTCCCAGTTAAGATGTGAAAATTTAATTTCATTATTTTTCATTCCATTATGGTTCGAGTCCGAACTACGATTGGAAAAGACAATTACTCGTTGTAATGTGAAATTCTCACTTAGTTTAGTCGCAGTTAAATTAGAAAAGTCTAAAGTGGCATACACGCCGGAAATAGTGCAGCTGACAACTGTCTCACCAACACATTTGCAATCCTCCGAAAATGGTGGGTATGATCCCGGAGTTTTTTTGCAGTATGTTTCGTTAGATTCAAATATGTCTTCAATGAGATACGCCATAACTATTGTAATTATAAGAATCAGCTTCATTTTAGCAACGATCGTAATGAATTTTCTTCAAAAATGGGAGTGCTCCAATTAAAGTTTGTCTTATATGATTTTAGAAGTGAGGCCCCACAAGATCACTTGAAAGCTACTGGAAATTTTGCAATAGGTTGAAAACAAAAGGAAAATCTAAAAACAATTTTCAATTCAACTTGAGTTTTTCAGATTTGAAAATTCGGCCAAACTTTGATTGATCAAATGCTAATTGAATTTTCAATGTAAAGCAAGTCTTAAAATATATAACTTTAAAAAGAAAGACAGCCTTTCAAGGAGATTTTATTGGGGTCATGCTTCTTTCTAAATGGTCTTTTTCATAGAACTATGCTGAAAAAAAAATGACCAGACGCTGAATGCGAGTTCAAAATATACGGGCAAAAACTAACTAGCAACAAAACTATATTTTTCGTTGTTTTTCTCTCATATTTTGCTTTTAAGTTCTCCAATTGCTTTTTTCTCCAGTTTATTTTTTTAAATAAGACTTGTATACGAAAAGAAATGATATTTTTTGGTGGTGAAGACAAATAAAGACAACTTTTCAGGATATGACTTTTGGCAGCTGTCGCGAATTTTTACGGGCATTATTCAAACGTTTTTCATGGAAACCAAAAAGTCGTGATTAATGCCATTAGAAAACTTCAATGCCCACTACTAAAAGTCAATCACCGTAACTACAGTGCTGATTTAAATTAACCGGACAAAACGCGTTAAACTTGACATTTAAAATGCGTTTTTCTCAAATTGGGTTGAGTTTAGGTGAAAATTTATGAAGACAAAACTTGCTTAAAATTTTAGCAGAATTAATATGGTGTAATTTGTTTTGCGAAATTCGGTCCCAAAATTTTACTCCAAAAATGGGTCATTTTGGCTTTTCTTAGTTAATCAAAAATTACGCCAAAAATACCAAGTCGATCTCAGACATAATTATACCAAAGTGAGCCACTTACGTAGCCTAACAAACTTTAAGAAGGGTATGTTCTCCAAAAAAAATTTGCAAATCGTTTAAAAATTGTTTTTAAATATAAAGTTGCTGTTTTATATAGTAAAAACGACCTTTTTTGTCTATCAAACAAAAATAAATTATTTTATACAATATTTTGGAGAATATACTCTTCTTAAAGTTTGTTGAGCTACGTAAGGGGCTCATTTTGATATAGTTATGTCTGTGATCGACTGGGTATTTGTGGCGTAATTTTTGATTAACTAAGAAAAGCCAAAATGACCCATTTTTGGGGTAAAATTTTGGACCCGAAATTCGCAAAATAAATTACACCATATTAATTCTGCTAAAATTTTAAGCAAGTTTTGTCTTCATAAGTTTTCACCTAAACTCAACCCAATTTGAGAAAAACGCGTTTTAAATTTCAAGTTTAGCTCGTTTTGTCCGGTTAATTTAAATCAGCACAGTATTGTGGGAGACATTGAAAACGCATCATTCCCGATTTTTGTTGACTTTTCTTCAAAAATTAGCTAATCTGTGAAATCATACGAGCTAACTGTTTCGAAGCAAGTTTGATCACATTTCAGGCACTAATTTATTTGTTTTTTTCTATGTTCTGTTTTTTTTTATAAAATGATGGAGAAAATTTTGCCGGGAAAGTTGACCAGGAAAACCCAGTTTTGGTCCAAAGAAATTTTTGTAATTATGGATGACTTTCCAATTTAGTTAAGGTTAATGACCCTAAATTGGGACAGTGTTGTGAAAATTGTGACTTAAATAGGTTCTATGCAATACAATTGTGGAAATTTTTTGTTACGAGGCCAAATTGTGAACTGGATAGGCGCACAATTTTGTGTCTGTATGTTCCAGAATTCCATCGACAAAACATTAAACTTGTTACAAAATGTAACTGGATCCAGTTACAATTTGGAACAAGTTTAAAGTTTTGTCTATGGAATTCTGGAACATACAGACACAAAATTGTGCGCCTATCCAGTTCACAGTTTGGCCTCGTATCCAGTTTCATTTTAAAACAAGTTTAATGTTTTGTCTATGGAATTCTGGAACAAATAGACACAAAATTGTGCCCATATCCAGTTCACAACTTGACCAGTTTTTTTTATGTTCTGTTTTTTTAAGAAAGGTTGTAGAAAATTTTGCCGGGAAAATTGACCAGGAAAACTCAGTTTTGGTCCAAAGAAATTTTTTATATGGATTATTTTCCAATTTAGTTAAGGTTAATGACCCTAAATTGGGACAGTGTTGTAAAAAATTGAGAACACAGCTAGTTGTTTTGGATTGCACAACTGCAAGTAGATTCTACAAAATGTAAGTTCAATCCGCAAATGTAAGTGGAATCCGCAAAATTTGCAAGCGTAATCCGCAAATGTAAGCGGATTCCGCAAACTGTAGGTGGATTTAGATTTTTGTTTACTACTGAAATTGTATATGAACAATTAAACAATTAAAAGCTAGAGCAGGAATTCTTTTCTATAGCAATCTGAAAATTTATAGCAAGACTTAACCATTGTCAGCGGAATCCACGAACAAATCTCAAAATATTTGTTTAATAAATCTGCGGATGTCGCCTTTTAGTATTTTGAAAACACAACACCGAATAAATTCAACATTTGGAAATATTGGGTTGAGAGTTTTTGGAAACACAAAACACAACATATCGCCAAATTAAGTCAATATTTGGGTTAGCGTCAACCCCAAAAAATGATTTTGGAAGCATAATGTCGAATAAATTCAATATTTGTAGTCATTGGGTTGAGAGTGTATTGAATTACAACACACAGCATATCGCCACATTAGGTCAGCATTTGCGATTGCATAAATCCCAAGTACTGATGATCTAGTAGATTCCGATTCTAGTGAATTGAGATTGAAGTTAAGATCGAAAATGACAGGAAGTGAGATCGAAGTTGGGTCGACAGAATTGACACCAAATGTTTGGTATTTCAATGTAGGAACTCAGATTGATTTTTCTGGTGACCATCTAGTAAATAAAAGATAAAATTTCAAACGCTATACTACACATCTACATATATGTAAACGGAATCTGCAAACAAAATGCGGATTCACCTTACAATTTGCGGATTCCGCTTACAGTTGCGGAATCCACAACAGCTCAATGTAATTATACAAATGGCTTATTATTTGTTATTGGATTCCACAAATTGTTCTGGATTCCGCAAATACAGTTGATGATTCCGCAAAATTTTGGAGCAGTTTTGAACGGTACAGTGTTTTAGGTTTTGTTAGTGAAATCCAAATAGCGAAGAAGATCAAAGACATGTAGCAAAATTGAGGATTCCGCGACAAATCTGATTTCGGCCCCTTGCGAAATCCGCTTATAATGCACAGAGTTTATGAGCACAAATTTCGTGAGTTTACTTCTTAGGCAGATCATCATATACCGTTGCTTATCATCAAATACAGCCAATTAGTTAGTCAGAATGTCAAAATTTCTTGAAAAAATTTTGTGCTCATCAAAAGTTTCTATGTTTTTTTTTACAATGTCGTGCAGTATAGGCAACGTTCTTGAAAGATTGTTTTAAAAAAGCTCTGACTGAAACTCATAAAAGTATCACTATTCTCATACAAAATTTCATGCGGAGTCTGTGGGGAACTTCGTATGACTTCAAAAGTGGAACTGTTTGATGTATGGTCTTTGTTTCCTTAGAAAAACAGATTCCCTAAGTTATTGATAACAAACTCTTATCAGTTTTTTTAGTGAAACCGAATTGGGCATCAAAAGAAATTACTATTTTTAAATCTATCTGGTCAATTTTTACACTGAAAATGCTCGCGAATAGTTTTACAAAAATGCAAAATTAAACGAGACTTTTAGAGTTCTTTTAAAATGACATATAAGAAGCTGCGTCGATTTAAATGAAGTTTTCATTGTGTAGAAAAAGTGTTTGTCTTTATCAAAAAAGCTACATATGAAATGTTTGAAGCTGCAAAGAATTAAAGATGTGTCAGAGAAAACATGTGTCATTATGAAAAAAAAATTGAAAAAAGCTCGACGGAAATGAGGTTTAAGCTTTTTTTCATGTCTTTCAACCAAAAAGTCAAAAAGAGAAGAGAAAAGTTTCACCCAATTTTTTTTCTATTCATTTGTAAAACAAGTGTTTGCGTCATTTTATGTATGTAGGGCAAGCTACTTTTCCGAAATTTGAAACTTAAAGAAAAAAATTGTAATACTTAAGAGAAACTAAAACAAGAATGTACTTCATTTTATTATTGTTGTGTATGTTAGTCGTGCTTTTTTCATCGGACTTATTCTTCAAAAAACGCTTGAAAGATTGTTTTGTTTGTAGAATGAATATGGACGAAAAGCCTTTTTTCCACTGGGGCGAAAAGAAACGCAATTAAATCAAGATCCTACAGAGGTAAGCATAGAGCACGGAAACTGAAGAAGAGAAAAATTATGCAAATAAAAATATTCAACTCAGTTATTTCAAAAGAAATCGGAATATCAGAGTATCAAAAAATTTGTGACTATCTCGAGTCAATATAACGTCAAAACAAAGCTGAAACCCTATTTTATCGCATTTTATTCAAGATGTGCGTATGAAACAAAATCTCGTAATATCGACAATTATGAGCATCGATATAGGTTCAATAGTGTCTATAGAACATGGCTGGAACAGTTTCGAAAAAGTAAAAGATTCACAATAATTTTTCATGAAAAACATTATAATTCAATGATGAAATTCTGAGCACTGAAAGTATTTGATTATTCTTTTTTTGACTTGAAGCGAAATTTTCAAAACCAAAAAGAAAAAAATGTTTTTTCGATTCCTTTATTTATAACAAAACACTACATTTTGAGTTTTTCGTGTCCATTGGTCTCAGTCAAAAAGTGCACTTCCAAACTTTTTCAGTATTCAGAGTTTCATCATTAATTATTACAAAATTTCAGCAAAAATACAATTGTCTTTCCCGTAAACCGTTACAAAATAATGATGAAACTCTGATCAGTGAAAAGGTTCGAATCTGACTGTTTTAAAATTCGTTACTGTCAAATAATCCTTCTCTCAGCCTTTAAATGTTTTTTCAATTGCTCAAAACAAGGTTTTTCTCAAAATTGTACCAGTAGGAAAATGTTTTTTTTTAAATAACATAGTTTTGAAAAAAATGTACAAAAATTAAAGAAAATATATTTGAGACGTAATGTGAGGTGTATCAAGGATTAGTGGCTCTTTTTCCTTCTCCCCCACCTCACATAAGCATCAATTTTATGGTGTAACGAGGGGTTTTACAAGGTTAATCATGAAGACCAAATATGTTTGTCCTTGCCTAAGTAGTTGGTATGCCAATTTTTGTAGCATTCGAATGACGTGACCAAAATTTCACTGGTAAGTCTTTCCAGGTGCGGGGCAAAGGAAAAAGAGCCGAATTATCATGTGATGCAAAAACTACCAATCTCTGGGAACCAACAACCCTAGTCGATCAAGGGAGGTTATCTTGCAAGATCTTGCAAGAATCTTGCAAGATTCTTTTAAAGAGGATGCATCTCTTTAAAAGATCTTGCAAGATTCTTGCAAGATCTTGCAAGATAACCTCCTTTAAAGATAACCTTTTTTTGCAAGATCTTTAAAGATACAATTTTTTTGGGCAAAAACAGCTTTACACGCGAAGACAACCAAGTAGCGTTCGTGGAAGAAGGAAGCAATCTTAGCTACGCATACATACACACAGCCCGCTAAGCGGTTGCCCCCAGAAAGCTTCTTTTTTTTAAACTTTTTTTTTGTGATAGGCGGCTTCAAGTTTTGATCGACTACTTATACCTTAATCTCTCAAAATAGGAAAAATGCATTTGAGAAGAAGTCGTTTGCGATGAAAGCGTCACTTTCCTAGAACATAGCCAATCGAAGATTGCAAAGGAGTAATGAACGCAAAGTAACAATAAAAAATAACACTGACGTTGTTGAAAAATCTCAACTTTCAAAACTCAAAGAAAAAAATAGAAGCCCTTTAAGCTCTTTAAATTTGTAGAACAATTTATGAGGGGCGCTTTTTTTGATAACATGAACCCGACTTGAGAAAACTGGATCAATAAGGAAAGTTTTTATTCTCTGGAAATCTAAAAAGTAAATTCCACTTTCAAAACTAGAAATCGATAGTCGAAAAACTAAATATCCCCGGTTTGAACTAATTAAAGCAATTCGTCACAAAAATTTTTTGGCCAATAATCCTTCAATTTTCGCAAACCAGTAGCCGCAATAATTGCGAATAAATTAAAAAGATTTGATTGGTTGATACTTTTAATCTCATTGAATAAATTAACAACAAATATGCGACTACTTTTTAACGCATGATTTTTTGTCTAATTTTATTCGTTAAGCATTTATTTAAAGTTTTGGATTCTCGTTCTAGAAACAATTTTTCTGATCTTACACCTAATTTCTGTTATTTTTTTTTGTGGTTTTTCGACAGAAATTTTGGGATGGTTATCTTGCAAGATTCTTTCAAGATTCTTGCAAGATAACCTCCATCTTGCAAGATCTTGCAAGATAACCTCCATCTTGCAAGATCTTGCAAGATAACCCTCTTTTGCAAGAATCTTGCAAGATCTTGCAAGATAACCTCCCTTGATCGACTAGGGAAGAATCCATTTAGGTGATTGAAAAAGTAACCGGTTCTATCCCGATAGGTTATGATATTGTTGAAAAAAAAATTTGTTGCAGGAAATTTAAGTTTCACATGACAGAAAGCTCTGATTACAAATGACTGTTATGATTTTGTTTCGAAAAATTCGCCCTCTTGGTAGCCTTGTTAGATAATGATCAGACTCAAAACTCATAAAAACAGAATTCAGCTGCTTGAAACCTGCTGATTAGTAATTGCTGTTTTGTATTTTCCGTCTGTATATCTCTTCAAAAAAATTTTTTTGTGGGGCAGTTTTTATCCAAGTTTCGTTTTGATATTCGAGAAAAATATTGCAAACTTTTTGCCTATTTGACTAAACTTCGGTTCGGTCTTTTCCGATATCTTTAACTTCACAATCTTTTCTCTAAATTGTTGTAACCTTCAGCTCAGTGTCTTCATTAGAATCATCTCGTCGCATCAATCGAGATGGGCCACTGAAGTTTCTATCTCTTAGACAATAGGGATATTTTCATGGGGCGCAATAAGCGCAAAATTCCAACCAATCAGAATCAGTAGAAGCTCCCATTTGCTGATTTTTTTTTGCAATGAACAGAAATCAAACTTAGCAGAGAATAATTTCAGAATGCATACAAAAAATTTTATTTGCTTTAACCGGTATCTGTGTAGAATTGAATTGATTTCCACTCTGTCTCAGATCTGTCAGTGTTTGAAAATTCATGTATTTGTAATCGTTCACCCAGCACGCATATCTAAATCCATACCCAGTCTACTAGTCAAGTTATCTGTTTTCAGGCGAAAAATTTTCTGCTACAATTTAATCTAATACGAAAAACGGGTCTCATTTTTTCCCATACTATAAAACAAAAAAGACCGCAAATGAAATAGTACAGAGATCGCTGCTTTCTTCGAGGAGTTTTGAAATGGGTGAATTAGAAAAAAAGCAGTAGATGCACACAGTAGATGCATGCAGCAGATGAATGCACTACAACTCATTATGTTTCGTCAAATCTTACTATAATAAACACCATCAGCTTTGTGATTCGGCCAAAGACAATTCACACAGTTTTAAGTTTTTAAAAACGTGCGCGCAAAAAGTTTTCACATGCGGCAAAACATCAAAGCTTTGCCCAGCAGTCCATAATCTGGTTTTCAACCA